CTAACACTACTAACTACAGTACTAACTACTCTACTACTACTACTACTACTACTACTACTACTACTACTACTACTACTACTACTACTACTACTACTACTACTACTACTACGACTACTACGACTACTGCTACTACTGCTGCTACTGCTGCTACTACTGCTACTACTGCTACTACTGCTACTACTGCTACTACTGCTACTACTGCTACTGCTTTACAAGTGCAGGGTGAATGCCTCTCGTGCTACCATCTCCCTTGCTTTTGCCTTGACTTGCTACTGCCATTTGTTCCTACTATTACTGTGAAGCCTGACCTGACATTTACCATTGGGACTCTTCGATAAGGCGAGCATGTTCGATGCTTCGGCTGCAAAGCTTCGCAATATTGTTCGTATCGTCGCTCTTATTGTCAGTCTCTGAGCGACAGACAACGTCCCAGCTCTTGATTGCCTGGCAGCTGCTGGTTGCTTTGCTGCTGCATCCAACAGCTTTTTCGGCTTCTGGTGCGACACATGTGCTGGCAGACTGCTTCCAGTGTTTCGCCCGTTCCCGCCTCCGTGCTCATGATCGCACCATTGGCCGTGTGAGTGATGCTCCAGTGGTTCAGGAAGGTCTTGGAAGGCAAGGGGCGTCTCTGTCACACCCGTCTCAGAAAGCTGAGAAGTGCAGAATGTATCGCTCAATCGATGAAGCTGACGGAAAGCTGAGCCAAGAGCATGCGGAGTCTTCGCGGGGTTTCGCGAGGTCAGCCGGAACATCATCACACGCAGTTCTGGAATATTCTTCGGCTCCTGGACCTGCAAATGTCCGGTGGAATCAAGAGCGTTCTTCCTGAAAAACACACGCAGAAAGAAGGGGTCCTGAATGGTGATCATGTTGTCGATGCAAGTGATCATGGAGTTTGGCAAGTACAGGAACGCATCCTGCAACGGCGTCTTGCCGAGCTTCGAGCACAGCTTCCCAAGTTCCCAAACTTGACACCTCTTTGAAAGCACTTTCACTTCTCACGTCGTGGCACTGGGACTGCCTCCATCGGCTCCCAGCGGAAGTCGGCACACGAATCTTGCGGACCCTCGGTGCGCTTCTGCATGGCTAGTCGCGGAAGTTCGCCGCTGTACAGCAGGATTAGGACACCGCCGTCAGGAAGTTGAAACCAGTCGGAGCCTCGATGGCAATGACCTGCAGTGTGCAGACCAATTACCAGCGTCCTTTTCGCGCCGCGTCTTGGGCTTGGACATCTCCGGGAACCAGCTTTGTTGGCAGCTGGAACTGGACGAAGAGTCCGGGAATCTCAGAGAGCCTCGTGGCGATACATCGCCAGGCGCGGCCTGGATCCGGTGCCTTTCAAGCTGAGCTCGAAACCCGTTGCGGTAGGTCGCACCGGTGACAGGGTCCTTTGAGGGCGAGCATGCGCGAGCATGCGCGAGCGAGAAGTAGTGAGATGAGCTGGCATCGCTCCTGATTCCGCACCACCCACTGCCGGGCTTTGTTGTAGACGGGGTATCCCGGCCTTGCCGCGAGAAAGCGTTTGCTTGGGAAGAAAGGCCGGGATTTGCTCTGAGTTGTGGGCAAAGTTATTGAGTCGCGGAAGGTGGGCAAGACCTTGCAGGTTCGTCGCGAGATGGGCATAAAAATTCTGTGGCAAGCATAACTGTGACCGGTGGGTTAGATCGAGCACCCAGCACCAGATGACCCTGGGCTGTCGAAGGTGTCCAGATGCCAAACGTTCCACATTGCTTCCTGCACTTTTCACTTAGCAAGTAAAGTTGCAAGCTCACGAGACGACAGAACGGCTGTAAGCCAAGGAACCCTACATGAATACCCATTCTGAGCATGCACAACTGCTTGGGCCAAAGGGAGCAATCCAGTGGCCCACAAGAGTTCGGAGCGATATCTCACAGGGCACCTCATAGGCCGGAATCGAGAGTGTCGGATTTCTCACCTTGGAAGAGGTATGAACTCACATCAGCTGTTCGCGACAGCTGCAGGAGCCGGCGCCAACTTGCGGGCCAAGTCACGAATATCGTCAGCTGGTAGTCACGGTTGGCTTCGATCTCCCTGAGAGCGCTACCAGCTCAACATGCCGCCAAGTGGTAACACGGATTGCCTTCAAAACACTTCGATTCATTGAAAGCTGTGGGAGCTGGCCGCTCGGAGGCAAGAACAGTGGCTGTCAAGATCCGCCCGGTAGCGACATCTACATCCTGACACCGCCAACATGAGAGCACTTGACTTGAGGCTTCAAAAAGCACTGAGTTCACGACACATCGGACATCTGCATCGCCCCAGATCAGAGAAGGCCTTGTGCACAGCTGGGAACAGGAAGCACGTGGCATAGGTGCGGTCAGATGAGATCGCAGTAGCCATGAGTCGCGCACGGCCCAATCCAGTTCGGTGCAGGCGCAGTCAGTGGGTCTGCGTTTCCGGTGCCTGACGCATGGCTGCACATGCTTCCTTATGAGTGGTCGAGCAAGGCAGGACAGGCCCAGAGTGACGATCGGCCCGCAGCAATACGTATCTGACGTATCTTCGCTCTTTAACATGCTTTCGCCTTCTCATACTCAGAATCTAGCCTGGAGTCTAGAGTCTAAAATGAATCCATCGTCTTGCATGCATGGCAGCCTTTCATCTTGAACGGCCGCATGCAGCAGCTGCCACTATTGAGCACTGCTGCGCTAGAGCATGATGGAAGCTTAAGCAAAGGATTGGCACAAGCCGGGTCGCATCGCAACGGCCCGCGGTTCAGAGGCTCAGCGACTCAATCAGACACCGCCAATGCCATTCTCTCAAAGTCCTGCAACACAGTCGCATCTATGTCGCCGAGCTGATTTCCAGAATATTCCAGCCGGGTTCCCAGCCGGGTGCGAAGCAAGGAAAGCAAAGAGCGCACACCTTTGGGCTTCGGCGCTTTGGCACTGAAAAGACAATGCCGCTTGAGCTTGCCCTGAGCTGTGGACTCTGGCAGCTCATCCTCCTGAGTTGCCTATCAGGCTGAGATGCTCAGCAAAAGCGGAAAACCTGAAACGAATCCCACCTCTATCAGGCAGCACAGGCCACACTCCAAGCTCTTCACGTGGCGCCTTGGTGCACTGCTGGCAGGCTGCTTGGGCCAAGCTCGACGTAGTTGCAGCTTGGTCACAAGACCATGCGAGTAACCTCGACCGCACGAAGAATTTACTGGGTACGGCGGTACAGGCACAGACCTCCCAAGTCCTCCCAAGCCTCAGGCTCAGGCCATTTCTTCGTAGCCTCCACCCCTGCCTCCATTGGTGACCTGGCCACGGCTTCCTCTCGGGAGCTCGGACCTAGGACCCCAGCCCCAGAGCCGCACGTCCAAGGTGATCTCCAGATAGTCCTCAGGCTGGTAGTGGCTTTCCTCAGCTTCTTCAGACTCTCTCGATTCGCACATCCCACGGCATCCGAGGTGGGGTCCATGGAAATCTTCATCCCGATGAGGGTGGGCTTCTTGAGGGCGACTTTCTTCACCACCTGCCGGCATCTGCCGGCTTCCCGCCATGTACTGGACGCAAACCATATTGGATCACGAGCCGCACACCCAAGGGCCCGTCTCCACGGAGAAGATGACCTTCAGCTTCTTTTTCTGCTCCTGGGTGACGTCCAACTTCGCCAGGCATCTCGCAACTCACAGTGGTTCCGGAGTCCTCGTGGCTCGCTGCCAGGAAGCGGTGCCACACGCGCGCCTCCAAAAGGCTGCGAGCACCGCTCTCTGGTCATGTGTGCCAGAACAACCCACATTCTTCCTTTAAGTCCCAGGTGTCGCAGTTCAAGCTTCCAAGACAGTCCAGCAGCGGGGCCTGCGGACTCGCGGGATCCGACAGCCAAGCAGATGAGGGATCCACGGCAGCCGTCATGATGGCCTCAGAAGCAGGGCTCAGGGCCGGGAGGCCAGCGATGGCCAGCGCAAGCCCACGAGAGCCTGGTAGGGAGGCATAATGAAGTTCAGTATGAAGAGGAATCGTCCATCCCCTCGGCGTCGAATGGCCTCCGGAAGCCCAATGCACCCAGAGAGCCAAAGAGGCTGCACAATGCCGAGCTTCGAGCTTGGCACGAGAAGTCAGAATGCCGCGCCTTGCATCCCGCACATCTAAAGGAAAGCGTCGGGAGCAGCAGCGCAGGCACAAGTCAATTCGCGCTGTGGTTCAACGAAGGCGCGGACTGATTCAACAGCAGGGCCGCGGGGTCCGATTTGGCTGACGTCGACATCCAAGAGCTGCAGCATCGCAGGACCTGTCAGTGACGTGCAGGTTGCAAAATGCGGGAGTGGCTCTCGGAAGCCCGTGCTCCGGGAATTTGGTCTCCGGCGGGAGGGTTCCTTTGACCTCGGCTAGTTCTCGTCAGGGGCTGTGACAAAGCTCGTGAAATTGTGAAATTGAGCGGCCCATCCAGAAAATACGTCTCTGATCGCAGCTTGTAGGTCGACCTGGCTCCAAACCCACGGGACTTCCTTCAAGCAGTAGAAAGACAGGCATTTCTTTGAGGTAGCTGCGCATCGATGACATTCCAACTGTGCTCCCCATCACCTTCCATCAGCACTGTCGAGGCTCAAACGCAGAAGCTTTGCAGCTCAGGGCCTTGTGGAAAGTCGGCCTTCCGGAGATCATATCCGAACCTAAGAGCCCGTCGCAATTCCGGACCACAATCGCTGTAGGGATGTCACGACTAGCACATGCGATCGAGGCGCAGGAAGGATCAACGTCAATCTACGCAACATCCATCTACCACCAGTATCAAACTCACTGACACTGTTCTCCTCCATGTGCCACAAAGCACAAGACTCTTAGTTGCATCTGCTGGGAACCCGACCCCTCGAGCTGCGTCTCCTCCTCAAAGTCCGTGATGGAGTGAAACTCAGCAGCCTCCACCTGCGTGCGTCTTTTCAGTCTCGCTACCTCGATCGAGCCGCTTCAGGACCCATGGCCTCCCTGTCGCTGTCCTCCCCGTCCTCAATAATTGCGTCGCCAGGGAGGACCTAACAAGTGCGGATTGGCAAAGACACTACCACAATTCCGCCGATGCTCTGGCCATTGGTGGTATGGACGAGAGCGCTTCTCGGATTTCGCCAGGACGCAGAACGCTTCCTTTATCCAACAGCGAGGCACGCTGCAAAGCACTGCCTGGCAAGCAACAGCGCAATCTCTAAGTGACGGACTGCCGGCGCGCACAATGCGATGTAGCGCCTTCCTTGTGTGCGAGCTCAGGCCTCAAATCCCGTTAAGCAAAGGACAGAACTCGAGGCAAAGGCGATCCAACTCGGGTTGTGACCTTCGGGACTGCTTTGGCCCCAGTGCCTGAAAAAGGTAGACAGCCGTCGGTATTGATATTGCGAGTCCTGATTCGGACGGAGGACAGCCACAGAGAGCGACGTGATGCCAGCAATACAGCACTCCTTGGAGAAATCGACGTCAAGTCCCTGTCGCAGCCGCGCGTACGATGCCTGTGGTGCTGTAGGCTGTCAGCTGTCCCGTCCACAGATTGCATTGCCGCAGAATCTCTCTCACACACACACACAAACACACAGGGGCACCAAAACGCGCCGTTTTTCTCTGCAGCCTGCACCTCTGGTCTCTCTGACAGAGTCTGTTCCTTGGAAATTCGATTGTCCACCTTTGCTCGTGTCTGACGCTTCTGAATCCTTCTCCTCCGCTCCGTTGGATCAGGATTTCCTCGGACGAGCGAGCGAAGATCTTGATAGTCTCCTGAGTTATGGAATCAACCAAGCACCTAAAATCGAAGCCAAGGCCTGGAGCTGCAAAGCAGGCTGAGGTGCGGTGGCACTCGAAGTCCAACAAGCGACTAAGTCCAGGAACATCCTTTTTGACACATGCTGACATCGTGCTGATGCCCAAGCCCTCCGAATGAAGTACAGTTGCGGTCCTTGGCAGCAATGTGTGGGTTATGCTCCACTACCTCCTTGGGCATCGGCTCGACCGCTTGAAGATACTTTGTCAAGATGGCCGCCTCCGACGTGCAATCAAAGCAGCAGCACCTGGCCCGAGAGCCAAATAAGACCCACGGCTGTAGCCAAAGCCTATACTCTAGCAGCATCAGTACGAAAATCAGCGTGCTTTTGAGAGCGCGACCGGAAGTAGTCTTCGAAGTCGTGCTTGTACTTCGCAATTCGACGGTGCGTGTTGAAGTAGAACATCTGCTGCTCGTATTTCCTCACTATCACTATCGGTGACCATCCACCAGCGCTACGAAACCATAAGGCAAAAGAGGCTCCGGTTGTCGTAGCTTCGGAAGCATCTCTCCGAGTCAAGACCTGGTGCAGTCGGCTCACAGGGATTCGCAAAATTCCTCGGTACCAGCTCCGCTGACCTTGGAACTCCACGAAGAGGCGGCTTTCCGTCGTCGTTGCTGGACCCCAGACCTCAGCCAAGGTGCCACTTGCCGCGGGGTTGCACTTCCGACTTACTAGCTTTTGTTGCTGCCGCGCGGCGGGAAGGTGCAGAGCACCATTCAAGTATTTGGTCGTGCCAGCATCTGACAACTCAAGTCACAGGAAGAACCTAATGGAGCCTGGTTCACTTCTGTTCCCAATGCATGCCGGGCACCCCAAGGTAGCCGAAATTTGAAACACGATGCCACAGGCTTCCTCGCAGCGACCAAAAGCCGGATCCACACCCAGTTAATGTCTTTGTCCAAGTGTCATCAGCAGGTGCCATCTCTCTTGCACACGCATGTCGTCTTCAACTTCCTTCTGGCCTTGGCTGCACCGCGCGCACGGCATGGTGGCGAGTCTCCCGGGTGGAGCTTCTGCTCAACTCATATAGGCTGCATCCACGAGGCTGGGATAGTCATCTCCCTCATCCTAGGACAGCAGCTGTTGGCTAGAAATACGAGTAGAAGAGCGAGAAACCTCATAGTCAAGCGGCTGCATCCTTGCTCGTTCTGACGTCCGAGATAAACAAGACACCTCATCTTTTTCCAACAGACGGTGACTAGGAAACGATAGAGCGAATGTGTAAGTGTAGTCTAAGTGAGAGTCTAAGTGTAGTGTGAAGTGACCTTCAGAATGCTCGAACTCTTTGGCCGTCTCGTCGGTGAAGTACATCTGCTGACAGCGAATCCTCGCACGGCAATTGGGGGAGCGATAAGATTCAGTTGCAGAATCCGGAAGCTATTTGAAGTTCGCAGGGGCCTGGGCGTCCCATCGATCCAAAGCAGCTCTTTGGCAGCCTGTCGCCACGTGATGCATCCACAACACAAGCGGAGGCAATCTCAACAGGTGCACATGACGTTACGATTGCGCTGCCTTGTTCAGATGGTCTGAGAAAGGTCTGCAGTCAATCAACACGAATCGCAACTTGGGGAACATCTTTGCAAGAAGCCTCCGCTTTGAGGCAACTCTTCAAGATTCAAGGCAAGCTGAGCAGCATAAGCAGCACAGAGTAAACAAAACAGTTCGT